AATGAGTTTAAAAAAATTTTTTTTTTTTTAAAAAAAAAAAAAAAGGTTACAAAACATATTGTTACAAAAATTGCTAGAATTTTTCCAAAACAGTAGAGAACAAGACTGTGTATATATATCTACTGACATGTGGAAAACTTTTCTAGGTTAACTTGTTTCCTTTCAGATCAATGATGAGAGAAGATGATCATAAATTAAGAGGAAAAGATTTTCAAGCAAAGGTTGAAGGTGATACAAGCAATAGCAAGGTCACTAAGGCACCATCAAGTTCAAGACAATGGTCAGCATTCAAGAATCCGAGGATTGTACGCGTCTCGCGTGCCTTTGGAGGAAAAGATAGGCATAGTAAGGTTTCCACCATAAGGGGATTAAGGGATCGGCGAATTAGGCTTTCAGTTCCCACTGCAATTCAGTTGTATGATCTTCAAGATAGACTCGGTCTAAATCAGCCTAGCAAGGTTGTAGATTGGTTGCTCGACGCTACCAAACATGAAATCGATGAGCTTCCACCCCTTCAAATTCCCCCGGGGTGTTTCACTCAGTTTCATCAACCGACACTAGTTTCTCATCAAGAGTTGAATAATGCCCCTCAATCTTCTTTCTCTTCATTCTTTAGCTCGATCCCAACATACATGAAGGATGGAGGAACTCAATCTTTGCTTCCAAATAAAGAAGGGATTAAGATCAATTACAATGTGGAGGATAATCAATCGAAAACTTGGGATTTAGATGATACCGCTATGAGAGCAAAGCTAAAGGAAGTTGAGAGAGAGGCTAATATTGTTGAGAAAGCGAAGTGGATGAGAACAAATGAACACCAAAATCATCAAGATGGAAGTAGTAGTGCAGGTTACAATGCACAAGTTTCGGCCCAAAACTTTTTTCCAATAGCGAGCAATTCTTCATTTCCGAGCTTGCTAAACAATGCCATGCCAATGCCATACAACTACTATCAATGGGAGCCATCAAATTTATCGTTGTCTCAATTCGGATCGCATGGACTTCTCTCCCAAACAGAAGGCGCCAATACTGGCCATTTGACGCCATTGCCATCTTCGTTAGCTCTCCCATCCAGGTCCCAATTATTTCTCTACCCGCCTGCATCGACGCCATCAATTTTCCCTTCATACCCTCCATACATCACTTTGGGAGAGAATGACACAAGGCAATTGCCAACCAACCACTTTCAATTGTGGAGCTCAAATTCGCAGCAAGCTCTACCAAATCCCCTTATGTCGTCGCTTCATTCATTTACCTCTCCAATGAGTTCTACTTCCAAAGTACTTCATCTTCAGTCACAGAATGATGATCAAAGACAACCGAACAAAGGCGGCAACACTGGTTTTTGAAACATATATATCTGTCTATTCCTCTTTACATAATCAACAGCTTTGTTGGTACTACTATAAAATCATATGCGGTGACGTTCTTCGAAGCATCATCATAGACTCAATTGGTGCAATACCAGTAAGCTGTGAGTGAATCAAATCAACGCGTGGGAAGAATGAAGAACGATCAAAATAGCGGTTTTATGGTAAGACACTATTTCTTGTATTTATGTATATAGAAATAATCATTATATTCAGCAGATGGAACATATAAAATACATGTAGGAAGTTTGTTGACTGTTGTACTGTTATATATATATATATATATATTTCATGCTTTGGTTTAATTTTCTTTTTCTTTTTTCTTGTCATATAATAGAATGTGGTATATAGGGCAGGCCATAATCTAGTGAAATTTAATATAAAAGAAACTTTGTCCTTAGTACCTAAAAGCTTTTTGATTCATGAGTTATATAGTTTTGTTGCATGCATTCACTTTGTAATTTGCATTGGCTATGGTTTCATCAAAAAAGACAACCTCTCCCTGGTGTTTCAACTGCCTACATGCTTCTCGTTCTAGTCCTTCTGGATGCCTCTCTGATCTTCATTTATTTTTCTGCGTGTGAGAGCAGAAATTGTTTATTGGGCCACTTAGGTCTCGTTTGGAAATAAATTATTTTAATAATTTTTTAATTTTTTATGAAAAATTGTGTAGAAAAATAGAAAGAATAATGTGATAACTTATAGTGACTTTTTTGCTATATTAATCACTCTCCAAACAAGATTTTAATTTACATATAATAATAATAATAATAATAATAATAATAATAATAACAAAATAAATGGTAATTCTGAAGATACAGGGAGGGTTAAATCAGGAAGCAAAATATGGATAGAAGTACTAACCAGATAAGCTCGGAACGCCGACTGAATCTGCACAGCCGCCAGTTCCCGCCGCCGGAGGCTCCCCCTGACGTAGGCGGTGGCAGGTCTAGTTCCACCGCCACTCGTCAGCCTCACAACCTCCGCGGCCGCTTGGGCCGCCGCAAGGGCTGCCTCAGCCACGGCAGCGGTCGCCGCCGCCACCGCTATCGCCTGCTTGTTGGCGTCAATAGCTTCCACGTACACAGCCGACGACGAGGCCTGGGCCTGAGACCCTTTGGTCCCAGCAGCACCAATCTTGTGGTCATTGTGATTGACGGATCTCTGGAAACCCCACTTTTTCTTCTCCTTTGTCGGCCTAGAAAATCCCGACCCACTCGACGACGCCGACTCCGACGACTTTTTGGAGCCTATAAGGGCACGGAACCATCTAGATGTCTTACCCATCAATGTGTCATTGCGGGTAAATCTCCGGAGGCTATCATGAGCAGTGGCAGCCTTGTTCCAGCAGTTGCAAAAAAGAGAGAATGGTGAGATGAGAGATATGTATTATCAAATGAAATATGCTGCTTGGAAAGAGGATAGACAGTATTGGAAATAAAGTCCCGGGGTCCAGCGACTCGGTTGGAGATCAAAGTGAAAGTGGGAGTGGTTGGAATGCCAGGTAGATTGTTTGAGGTTGATTTGAGAATTTTTATGAACTTTAAAATTTATTTTGCTTTTGGTTTGGTATGAGTTAATTTAATTTGATTTCTAATTTTTTAAGTCAAGTTTAATTTGTCAAATTTTTTGAGTTTATCTCACATGAGTTTTTATTGAGTTAAGTTAGGAGTTTATGATTTTTATATAGATGATAACTTTTTGGATTAGACGATGTTATTAGACCATGGTGGACTCAACTCCAGATCAATATTGATGATTTAAATTATTTAATATGTAAAGTTTGTCGAGTACATTATTCTTACAGCAATCATGTTAGTCGGACATTGATAGTCATTTGATCAATACACATTTGTTTCAAATGCAATTATAATTTTAAAAATAAATCATAGACACAAATATAGTATGATCAAATAGTTATCGATTTCCAATCAACGTAATTTTTTACAAAGATAGTGTCCTCAATGAATTCTACATATTGAAAGGTTTGGATTGTCAAAATAAGTCCAAAATCAGGCCCAACAAGGCCATCAACACTGGACTGGAGAGAAACCATGCATTTTTATATATTTTTAAGTTTATCAAACCAAGCTTAATGAGTAATTAATGTTTATTTTACAAATCAAGCTTGAATCAATTTTTAACAAACTCAATACAGTGAAACTCAATCTGTTTAATTCATTTATTACCACTAACTCTCGCTACAAATATATATGTACTAGTTGAAGATGCTCGTGCAAGGCACGAGTTTTATTGTGATAAATATGGATTTTGTTTGGTTTGCTTTTAGAAATTATTTTTTATATTTTTCTTAAAAAAAGAAAGTAATTTGATTAAAAGAAATATCAAAAAGATATTTTGAAATTTTAAAATTATATTTTTATTTTTTAAAAAGATAAGATTATATGAAAATGATGAATATTTTTATTTTTATTTTTTTGGTCACCAAGACGAATTTTAGTCTTTTACAAATTCTTTTTGTCTTTCTAAAAATGAACTTTAAAAATCAAATCAAGTAGAGACTTGGACTTCAAAGTACTTTTGGTTCTTGCTATTAAAAAGGCTATGGAAAATTTGGTTGCGGTCTTGGAACAAGTTCACATAGGCCTGTACTTGATATTATTGGTTAAAATTGTCAGATCCAATACTTTTTGTTAGAATATTAGAGAATAACTTGGCACGTGTCAAATTATAAGATTCCAAATTTTATTATCGAAATCTATTACCAAATCCATTATCATTATTCAATTATAGTATATAGGTGCAAAAGCTACGAACACAATCATAATTAAACCATTGAAATTCTCTCTTGTTCATACACATGATGCATTGATAGATTACATTTGATAGAAATGCCCGTAGGTTTACAACTACAAATGAAAACAAAAGGGCTTGACCCTTAACAAATATAACGACATTCTGTCTACATATAAATGGTTCCATAGTCGAAAACAAAAGAGCTTCTTAACTCCCAAGTAATTCTCCATCTCTGTACTTGAATTTTTTTTCACAACGTGGGATGAACATATAGTTCAGTAGAAATTTCAATAATTTTAATTAATACAGTACAATATATGTATATGATCATGAATGCTCCACATAATACATATATCAATAGTGTTCATTGTTTGATATCCAAAATATACATATACATAGATACTCATTTCTCAAAAAGTTAAATCTTCATCATTTCACGAAACAATCCATCATCTTAGTTTGTCATTTTTTCAAGATAGTTTAAGAATTTCATTCCTTTTTCATATTTGAAAACCATTTTCAAAACATTCTTCTCTTTATGACGAACTAACTAAAACATTTTTACGATTACACGACAACTTAGAATCAAGCAACCCCGTGAATTTCAAGTAACTCCCAACAGACTAACATGTCAAACAACTTACTAGAATCATCTTGACACATTCTGACTTGCAATACACTCAAGACACCTACCATATTTTATGGCCATAAGTGTAAGGGCAAATGGTGCACCTATAATCCAAAGTTATGTTGACACGTATGCCCATGTTTTATCGACCACTGGGCACGGAAGGCAAATGGTGCACCTCTCAATCATGACACACGTACAAAAATAAACTAACGTTAATATCACATAAGAAAACCCGACTTCGACAAGCCACAACCTTCTACTTTACCAGACACTAGTTGGAGAGAACTTGAAACCTATCATTCGAAGCGTAGCCACTTTACTGGGTGTTAGCTGGAAGAAACTTGGTACTTTTCTTTAGAAGCGCATCCCACTTTACCAAGCGCTAACTGGAAGAAAATTGGTACATCTCATTCGAAGCACAGACCACTTTACACGGGTGCTAGACGAAAGGAACTTAGGACCTTAACATAGCACTTTCATCACATAATCATAACATTTCCGTGACAAACTAGTTAGGAAAATTATTGAGCACAAAAGGTTTCAATTTACCTAATTCCATAATGTCACGACCCAAACCCGCCTCTATGGGTTTAGTACCGTAACCGACCAGTAATCCGAGATTACCGAAGGCCTGCTTAATAGTAATAACAATAATACAGAGTACAGAGGCTGGCAGAAACTAAAACAGTAATTAAAGATGTCCAATGAGCTGTGACAGTCTGTATGCAAAAAGATTTTTCATACATATCCACATAAACAGTACATATACATTCATATACAATCATACAGGTTAAGGACCAAGTCCCTACCATAACAGTACAGTAACAGTCTATACAGTCGATACAAACAGATACAGAAAGGGAGAATCTAAAACACCCCGAAGCAGCCTTACCTTGGCAACACTTGTAACCTCGCAGTGAGGCACATTGGTTGGCTTGACAAAAAGGAAGCTTAGCCTGACGCTCCTAGCAATGGTCTGGTGCTTGTACACCTACATATATATATGAGCAGTGAGCTAAAGCTCAGTGAATAACATATGCGTAAAGAGGTTAAGAATGAATGTCATTTCAGTATTGAAAACAGACATATATCAGTGTATTAGTCATTCAGTTTGTGGCTCATATTTCATGCCATAACAGTTATTCAGAAACTAGAATAGTCGTATGTGGTACATCCAATAGCAAAACAGTACAGTAGATCTTAACAGACCGAGCAGTCAATCATGGCTATCATATCAGTAAACAATAGTGGTTCCAAACATGGGAACCGACAAAGATCTCTGTAACAGTAGCAGTAATAGTAAATTGCCATGGATGCCACGAATACAGTTCACAAATAGGACAAACATTCATTCAGTAAACAGTGTTATTTCATAAAGCAGTACAATCATTTGTTCAGAAAATAATCTCAATTGAACATATCTTTACAACATTGTTACTCACAGAGCACTGGGCTATAAGCAGCTAGAGCGTCCTCGGATGTCAACCCTACAGTTTCAGAATGAACACACACTAAGCTACACAGTTGGAAAAATAATAACTTAATCCCTAATTTGCCTCGGTGTGGTTCTACATCAATATCCTTATTAAGATGCCTTAAACTAGGCTTAGGAATGCCTAGGATGGAATGAAGATACAAAGATGCACTTTAAAACACTTTTCAGAATTTTCAGAAAACAGGGGTCTCGCTCGAGTGTGGCTTTCTACGCTCGAGCAGACATGCAGACAAAGGAGCTTTGCTTAAGCGTGACTTTTGTTGCTTGAGCGGACTGTAAGCTACAGTAAAAATACTGGATACGCAAAAATCACGCTCGACGGGCGCTCGATCCATGCTCAAGCGTGAGACACAAGTCCTCGCTCGAGCGTGAGCTCTCTCGCTCGAGCGGACTATAAACACATGCAAAGTACTAGATACACGCATTTCACACTCGAGCGACACTTTCCTTGCTCGAGCGAACTGCATGAACACAAGGCGTACGCTCGAGCATGAGTCCAAAATCTGGAATTTCTAGATTTGAATCTCGAGCTCAAAACTCAACTTTAATGCATCAAAACTTAACCTCTTGGGCCCATTTTCTGGAAAAAACACTTTAAACCCATAATATAACATGTTTTGAAGATCAATTTGTAAAATCAAAGCCCAAGGGTGAGTTAATTAAAACACATTTTCATCAAAACTTCAAGAACATGATGAACATGCAACATGCATGAATTTAATCAACTTCAAAGCTTCCAAAGCAAGATCGAATGAGTTAATTCACTTCCAAACATGATGAATTCATGGACTATAACCCAAATATGGACATGCATGCAAGAATTTCCATGAAAACAACTCTAAACTTCAAGATATACACATGCATGCATGATACAAGCTTCAATTCAACAATTTATGACCAATTTATGACCTTAGGCTCCTATCTACCATGAATCATGTAAGAACCAACTTGATTTCACAATTAAAAGGATGAAATCCTTACCTAGGTTCCCAATTTCAAATGTAGAAGCTCAAATATGCAATTTGCCTTCAAATCTTTTAATCTCCAAGCCAAAACAAGATGAAAATCACGCTATCTCCTATCTCTCTCTCTCTCTCTAGTCGGCTAGCTCTAGATGGAAAAGGGTGAGATGGTGTTTGTAATGCAATAATTGAGCCCAAGTCAAAGTTGTAGAAATGGCCACTTAATGGCAAAAGGGTAAATAAGCCAACTAATATAATTTATCAATAATTAATCTAATTTACCCAAACCAAATCACATTTCAATTAAATATACCATAAAATCACATAAATTCCAATTAGCATAAAATATTAATCAATTTCAGATTCGGCCACCGATAAGGCCTTCAATTTGCAATTTAAACATAATACATGAACAGATAATTTAACAGTCAAACAGATAGACATGCACTTAAACTACCACACTCAATCAATTAACTCAAAGTTTCAATCGATTCAGTTACTTATCATGATTAGTCTCAGTTTAGCAGTAATCAGTGGTGTTATTAGTAAACAGTAGTGAGGGTTGTCACAGTCTCCCCTCCTTATAAAGAGTTTGGTCCTCCAAACTCGATTTACCTTCATTTTGGAATAAAACAGGATTCAGTGGGAACAATTCAGGATATCTCTTCATCATA